CTTTAAGAAAAAAGTTTAGAATATGAGCCCGTTTGGTGACTCAAATTTTTGGCTATCAAACTAATTATCAACCAACTTTTTCACCAAACATGTAAGTTTTGATTTTGCGTACTGAATTGTGTAATCATAAGAAAAAGTAAGCTTGTAGTTACTTTTTGGCTATATTGACTGAAGTTACTGTAGAGGATCATTTTACCAATTTTTTCATATAATTTTTTTTTAATTAATAAAATATATTTTAATTTTTTTTTCTTCATAGATCACCAAAATCAGCATATCCAGCTACTTTAGCTAGAACCAGCCAATGCATATGTACTACATACCCCGAACTTTATCTAAAATATTTATTTTTACACCATGCTTGTGTGTTTTTACTAATATAAATTCATTGGAAAAATTACATAATTTAAAATACTTTAAGCTTTGTTAGGGTGCGATTAACATTCTAAAATTTCATTTGTGTTATAAATAATATTACATCCAGTATAATTTACTTTTAATTGCATCCTCATAAATGCTTTTGTATTCTATATTATGCACTTAACATCATAACATTACATTAATTTAGGATTCGATTAATTGGGAGTATAATCATTGGAATATATTAACATCAAATTAGTAACACTAATTTATACACAAATACATATTGCGCGGTTTGTGGAAGAGAATATGTTGTATGTACCTTCACATGTTGACGGCTCATCCATCGCGTCACCGATGTCTTACCATAAAACCCGCCAACACCCAAGTCACTAATTAGGAGTTGTTTAGAGCATGACACATGGCATACTTTCCCTGTAGATTTACAAGATTTTCTCCAAAGTTCTTGCTAATAGAATGAAGAGGTTGCTTAATTTGTTCATCTCATAACATCAAAGGTGCGTTTATTCCAGGTAAGTCAATTATTGATAATATTATATTGACTTTTGAATCTCAACATTTTTTGAAAAGGAAGAGACTGGGCAAGGTGGGTTTTGTCGGCCTAAAATTATATATGAACAAGACTTATGACAAAGTTGAATGATCTTTCTTGGAAGTAAAATCAGAATCATTTTTCAGAAGTTGTTCCTCACAGCTTCTAAAAACTGCTTTTGGAGGTATTTTGGAGTCTTAGAATTACTTATGCACTTTCACTCAAACACCCCGATATCTACTTTTGCTCCCCGAAGGTGGAGAAGCAGTTTTAAAAATTAGATCTAAGTTTATGTTTTTTATGGAATGGACCGGTTAATTGGTTAGATTATAAGTTTTTACGTACTACGGACTATAAATTTAATAAAATCAAACATTGATTAGAGATTGTGAGCAACGAGAAAGAGGGATTATTTGCATTATTATTAGCATCTATATAAATGGTACACTAAAATACACAGACTTTTCCATAGAAAACATCTATCCTCACAAAGAATCCATAACAATGAAATCCTTGTTGTCCTTCCTAGCAGTTGCTTTTACACTTTTCTCGGTGGGAGTGACGGCACTAAAGTCGTTCTGTGTCTCAAAATAATATTCAATACTTGCACTTATACCGTAGTATAGCGTAGTAAAGATCGTATCCACAGGGAAAGGAATATCTTTCTTTTAATTAAATAGTAACAAAGAGGGTTTTAGATTGTTGATGAACTTAAAGTATATTAAACACTAAGATAAATGATTTATGTGGTTTAATTAATTAGAGATGAAGATTTGATTTTGCTTATATCCCCTTAATGAAATGTTCGTCGATCCCGGTTATATCTTTAACTATCTTCCTCTCGAATACTCAATCGAAGAGTATCTCCAATTCATCGAGGGTAGTTATTAATAACGAGACGCGTTCATTAATAAAACTTATTATCGAGTCAATATATAACATGCGCCGTATATTGACCCGATAGTAGTAATAGAACTTAAGATGAAAAAGATTGAGATTGATAACCTCAACACAAGCGGTTTATTGGTTCAATCAATATAATTAATTCCCCTTAGATTATTAACCATGCATTACTAATCCAAGTTCACTACCGTAAGAGGACCGAACGATTAACAAGTGTATTCGTCGATCAATTCTAGTAATAATTAATATATGAAACAAAACTGGTTGATTCTTGAAGTAATGCTCAAAATATTACTATAAAATAAGAATAGGAATGTAATTAATATTCAAGAAAGATAATTAAAGAAAACAACTCACAACTTACAAATCATTAAGCTTCAACATAGCAAAACAAAGATGGAAGAGTTTAACTCCTCATTTGGAGGCTAGACATACTAGAAAATATAAAGAAAATACTTGTCTAAGTTGAGCTTAGAAGTATATGAGAATTGATGATTTTATTGCGAAGGAAAAGAGGTGTATTTATAGGTGTTTGGAGGTGACAACGTTGTGTACCCGATTGGGTATTTTAGGCAGTTTCTCGGAAAGTCACTTTTCTGGACATACTCGGTCGGGCATGTTGGCATCCTCGATCGGGTATTAGTCAAATCTTCAAAATCATGCATGTTTTTTGTCTCTCCAGATTCTGATTTTGACACCCGAATCAACTCAATACCCGATCGAGTATTGCCTATACCCGAACGGGTATCTGAGATATTTTTTCAATCTTCTTTTTATCTTGTCCCCTTTCACTTTCCTTGATCTTTTGGGGTCCAATCTTGATCCTTTGAATGATCTTGACCTCTTTTAAGCTCAGAATAATCCTAATTTAAACAAATTACAACTATCTAGAAAAATAAAGTAATTACATCAAAAGTGTGTAATTTCCACAACAACAACAACTTAAACAATGAAACTAATTAAAAATGAAAATATACATAATAAAAATATAACAATATCAACTCCCCCATGCTTAGTTTCTTTACTCATCCTCGAGTAAAGTCAATATTTCACCAATAGTTTAAATAAACTAATTAAGACAGTTTACTTGTCTTATATGCTTCCACTATGTTCTTCTTCTTCACTGTATCGTCAAATCCATGTAAAAATAATTTCTCTCATTTTGCATAGGATCCTCTTTTTTTATCCTAGCCTCTTATTTTTTTCCTCCCAGACTCACTCATTTTTTTTGCCATTCTTGCTCAGGTTGCCCGTTCGGATTTTCAAGCTAACTGACATTTCTTCTTTTTATTTATTTTTTTAACATTTTTTTGTTTTTGTATTTTTTGTAGATGAAAGTACAATGTAGAAGAATTATCGTAGGTATAATGAAGATTTTTTCCCCCTTTGGTAAACCGAGCACTGTCTGTAGTGCTCGTTATCACCATTGTTTTTTTTTTTGGGTTTTTGAAGATATAAAGTTGTGCTTTGGGAGGGGTGAGTGTTTCCAAGAGTTTATGAATTAAAGGTTATGTGGAGTAAGAGGAAAGTGATTAGAACAAGATTATGATTATTATTTTTTGTTTGTGGGGTTTGGTGGATGATTTGGACAGATTTTGAAGAAAGAGAGATACGGAGTATGTTATATATGAGGTTTGGGGTGATGGGGGTGGTGTTGAATGGTGGTTTGGAATATTAAAGATGAAAAACTCCAATTTTATGAGAAACTCCAGCAAAACTCTAGTGTTTTAGCACTTATGGTTGGGGTTTCCGTATTCCCAGAAAACACCCTAAAATCTGAGGGTATAACAATCTTATGGAGGTGGAGCTTAAGAATCAGATTTGATCAATGGTGATAACTCCGGCACCTTTCTAAAAAATGGGGTACTGTACCTATCATTCATTTCGATTCACTGGGCCACATCACTTTATCATTTTTAATTTAGATTTAAATAATTCAACTGCTACATTCTCATTGGTCCATGTGGACAAATGTTTGGTACCTTATGGGTACCATAGAGTCTAACTTGATAAAGACGACGCACCTAGATTTGTCATGCATGCATTGTTCCCGGCGCGCTGGAGCCTGGAGGATGGAGCGTGCAATATTAATTTAAATTTTTATTATTCACGTACTGGTTCAATTTTAATTATATTTAATTAATGTATAAATGTTATAGGAATTTAGTATTTGAAATTTATTGCTAAGTCTTTGTCATGTTGAAGTTTCGAAATCTTTTTTTTTGCTAAGTATTTTTGTTATTGATAATGAATTAGGAACATTGCATTGGTATTATAAAATATGCATTGACAAACATGAAAATAAAAGTGTTGCAACTAAAAAAAATAACGCTAGCTAGTCCTATAATAATCCAAATAAAATGGAAACAAATTAAAATAATTAGTTCGGTAAAGTCATTTTGTTCTGCAGTTTAGGTAGACTTTGCCAAGTGCAAAGTAGGTGAGAAATAAGAATAGTAAAAAGTGTGTGGTTGACATTCGTGCAGAGGAGAGAAAAATATGCAGAACCACAAATTAGTTGCTTTAATAGGAAAATGACAAATTTTTTTGGATAACCAAAAAGGGAACGTTAGCAAAGTCCAATGGGACGAAGGGAGTATTATATACTCCATATCATTGTACAATGGTAGATTCTATGGTATCTTTAAGTTACCATATCTTTGTACACACTGACCAATAAGAATGATGTAGTTGAATTATTTAAATCTAAATTAAAAATGATTTAATGATTTGAACTAATCAAGTGAGTGATAGGTATGAAGTTGGCAAATGGGCGAGGCCGTGGTCTAAGGGCAATGTATGCTACGTATAATTGTACATATTTGACAAATAATGTACTCCGTATTAAATTAACAAAACAAAAAGAGTAGATAAAGTATAGGGAAAAAAATGATTTGGATAAATAGTGGGCTACGTAAGTACACTGTATAAATTAGATCTCCATTTATTTACTTGGTGTTTATTTAAGAAATAACGCAAAGTTTAACTTGCTCTTGCGCAGTCGTTCCAATCTGATACGGATATGCTGAATAATAGTCCGGAAGATCGGTCCAAGGGAGTGGGTTCTTGGCCGCCGCCGGTGGGTTTTCCTTCGGCGGCTGCTTCTCCGCTTTTGCGGGACCCACAGACAGAAATATGGGATAACCAGCACCACTCTCAGATTTGCGGCGGGGCATAAGGTTGATCAGTATTTGCCCTGGATTGGCTGTCCCCGTCACTGTCACCACCTTCTTTCCCCTGTCTATCTCGATTTTATCCAAATCATCGAAACAGCCGGCGCCGACGGATCTCATCGCCTCTTGCCCATTATATTCCTTCGATGGGTCCAGCTGCACCACTATTTTCTGCATGTTATACACGCACTATATATCATCTTCTCTGTTGTTTATCAAGTTTTCAAAAGCTTGCATTTTTAGCATGGCCATTTGTAAGATTTCTTTTTGAAATTGAATCAAAGAGTTTTTGATACTTTTGATCCCTGAGTATTGTGTCACTGTCACTTTTGGTACACCACTTTTAATTTTTCCATTTTTCGTTCTCGACTATCGTGCGAGAGACACTTGAATTTTAGTCCTCTACTTTCAAGTTTCCAACATTTAGTTTTTTTAATATTATCAAATTGACACTTTTAGTCCTTCAAATATTATTTTGACACAATAAGTGCATGACTAAAAATGTCTCAATTGCAATAGTTGAATGATCAAAAGTGTCACTTTTACAAAAGTCGAAGGACTAAATACGGAAATTTTCAAAGATGGATACCAAAATTGTCTCTCGCACAATAATCGAGAACTAAAAATGGAAAAATTAAAAGTCGAGTACCAAAAATGTTACTGACACAATAGTCGGGGGACTAAAATCAACAAGTCAACTTTTAATATATCAAACAGCTACAATTAAAAGCTAACAGTTACTAATTAAAAATTTTTGGTAACATAAATACATCTTTGCCAAAGGTAACATATGTTTGATAATTTTGGTTTAGTAGATATATGATGTATGTGTAATTTGTAACTATCGGAGTCTGATCGATTAGTTTAGTCGATGTCTGATGTTTGTTCTAATTTGGTTTGAGACTAAAATCGGTCTATATTACTTCCTACTATTGGTTCCATACAAAAATAATAAAAGAAATCAATTTATCAAGTTTTCCCCTATTTATATACAAAAAAAATCTCTATTTTTAATTTATTTCTTTGGTTATATTCCTTTTTACCTAGGGGCGGAGTCACGAAAATAAATAAGGGGGTCAAAATTCAACTTTATACAAAATGAGAGTAGTAGATCATTTTTAGACAATATCTGAATTGAATGTAGCTTAAATAAATGGTAGTTTAAATAAGACCAATGGAATTTTATACTCCCTCCATCCCTAAATAAAAGTTTTTGTTTCCTTTTTGGGTCGTCCCTAAATAAAAGTCATTTTTTTTGGCAAACAAAACAGTACAAAACAATGTCAAACAGTGTCCATTAATATTGCCAAACAGTGCCAAACAAGACCATTTTCTTGAATTGTGTGTAAAATGAATGAGAACTTTTATATAGGGACGGATGAAGTAGTTAATATATATGTCATACGTATTATATTATAAACTTGTTTTATACGAGTTTGGTCAATAAGTTTCCGTACATGTGGGGTGCCTCGGATGAGACCCTTTGTCTTACCCTGGAACTCCATATAGTTTTCATCTCACCCTGTCTAGGATTTTTCTTTTGGACTGTTTTCAGTCTCGCACCATACCAGATTTTGGTGTAATTATATATATTGCATTTTATAAGTAAATTTTGGCATAGTTATCTTCAAAAAATTATTTCATTGCCTTTCCTATTGAATTTTTAGCCGATTTTTTTATAAACTGGACTTGATGAGGAACATGTTAAAAAAATTCTCAAAAAAACTCCACCAGGAACCGCCCTGTTGGGCCGTGGGCCCAATCTGTCAGCCTGCCGGTGTAAAGGGGTAAAGAAACGTGGCGCTTCACTTGTGCTATAAATGGAAAGGAGCGTGCTACACTACCAGCAATTGCTTTTAATGTAGCAGTAAGCGCAACGATCCACAAGTGGTATAAGAGCCTAGGTCACGGGTTCGACCCCCGGTGACAGCATGATGTGCAGCTAAGGCTGGCAGGTGCTGGGGGGAGATTGTTGGGCCGTGGGCCGCGAGTATGCGGTGTCAGCAATCTGCCAGCCTGTCGGTGTAAATGGGTAAAGAAACGTGGCGCTTCGCTTGTGCTATAAAGGGAAAGGAGCGTGCTACACTATCATCAATTGCTTTTAATGTAGCGGTAAGCGCAACGATCCACAACCCCAAATGGTGGCGGCCGGACAGCCCCCCCCTGTCCCTCCAGGTGGACAGGATCATTCCTATGTACACACACACACACACACACACACATATATATATAGGGGAGAGTTCAAATAAAAAGACCTCTTCCCATGCAAAATGAGAAGATATGCACTTTTGCATGTTTCGCTTGCACTTTTGCGTGGTTCTATTGCACTTTTTCGCGGTAACGAAAAAGTGTAACATATTTACGAAATCTCCACCGCGATTTTGGTCGAATCTTGTGCATTTTTGGCTCATTTTGAGCCATTAGATGTGGAAATGAATGCACAAGATTCATTCTCACTTTGCATGAGAAGAAGTCTTTATATTTGACTTATCCCCTATATATATATATATATATATATATATATATATATATATATATATATATATATATATATATATATATATATATATATATATATATATATAAAATAAAGATCAAATGAGAACAATGCTTAACGTGAGAACGTGAGAACACCACATTTACCCCAACGTGTTGCACAACAAAGCTTGTATATTGCACATTTTCACATTTTCACAATATTTACCAAAATGCCACCGTGTTTATTTAAATAGGTTTAATTCGAGCAAATTGAAAATGTGCAACAGAATAGCTCCATTGTGCACCACGTTGATTTAAATGTGAGTGTTCTCACGTTCTCACGTTAAGCATCGTTCTCACTGGAACCGCACCCTATATATATATATATATATATATATATATATATATATATATATATATATATATATATATATATATATATATATATATATATATATAAATATGGTGCACAATGGAGCTCTTTTATATATAAAGAGTGTGGTTCTCACGTTCTCACTATTTATATATATATATATATATATATATATATATATATATAAAGAGTGTGGTTCTAGTGAGACCGATGCTTAACGTGAGAACACTCACATTTAAATCAATGTGGTGCACAATGGAGCTCTTTTGTTGCACGTTTTCAATTTTGCTCGAATTAAGCCCATATTAAATAAACACGGACACACAGTGGCATTTTGGTAAATATTGTAAAAACACGAAAAAGTGCAATATACAAACTTCATGGTGCAACATGTTCGGGGTAAATGTGGTGTTGTCACATTAAACACTGTTCTTATTTGATCTTTATTATATATATACTAGATTCTCAACCCTCGTGCTTTGCACGGAATGCATATGTTATATGTTTAACTATGTCATTAGATGATAGTCGGAATCTGACGAATAGTTTGACCAACTCGAATTTACATCTATTAAAAATTTGGGATGGATTTTTCAGAGCACGAAATTCGACAAAGTTGGGATCAATTCGTACTAAAAAATATTTGTCATTAGGTATATAAATATTTTGTTACATATTTGTGTTTGTAGAATAAAATTATATAGGATTCAAGCAATTGAGGAACATAAAGATGATCAAACTTTAAAAAACCAATAAGCAAAAACATTAATTGATAGTATAGCTTTAAAAATCGAAATTTTCACATTATGAAAATATTACATTTTCATAATATTAATAGAAAAAGTGACTCTTTAAATGTGTACTTATATTGATCATACCATTTCCCATTGTGATTGTAAAATAAACAAAATAATTACATGATTAGGAAGTTGTACGACCTAATCTCTAGTCAATCATGTAATGTACAACTGAATCTATTTGATGACAATCAATCATATCTGAAGTTGATTCCACGTGGCCGTATAATTTTCGTAAAATGGAAGAGAAAGAATTACAAAATGAATCAGTATTGTACTCAAAATGTTCATTGTGGCTTTCAAATTCTTAAGAATTGCTATCAGGATATACAAATCAATGAATCTTATAAAATCGTTATAATTCATCTAACTAAAAATTGCCAATTTGAAAAAAAAAAATCAACTTATGTTAAAGGAAAAGACATGGTACTATGATGTGCATCCTTAGAGACACATTCCATAAAAAGAAGATTTTTCTTATAATTTTATAAGAATAAAATTCTTGAACAAAAATATGACTAAACTTATTATGACTATGACTTCATATAGTACAAAGTCAAACATAATTATAGTGACTAAGATTCACTCACATAGTAAATGTGTCATTATTTTAATTTTTATTTTAGTTATATACTTCGTATAAAAAAATATGACATTATTTTCATAAAAAACTATCGCATATACATACATACATACATACATACATATATATATATATATATATATATATATATATATATATATATATATATATATATATATATATATATATATATAGTAAAGATCAAATGAGAATACTTCTTAACGTGAGAAATGAGAATGATTCTGGAGCTTTGGATTTTGACATTGTGCATCAAGTAAAACAGAAATGTGCATATAAAAAATTGGAAAATCTGCATTTCAAGTGTGCAAAAGTTTACACGTAAACGTGCACATTAGAATTTTGCATTACTTTAACTATAAATGTGCATTTTCGTGAATGATAAAGTGCATCATTTTGGAGCGTTCTCATTTTTCACATTAAGAAGTGTTCTCACACACATATACTTCTCGTTATAAATATACAATATATTATTCAGTATAATTCAATATACTTATTATAAATGTACTACTCGTTTTAAATAAATATAATTCAATATAAAAATATTAATAAGATATCATGGTATTTATGTACAAAAATAGTATGGATTTTGCATATTTTATTTTGGATGTTCTTACTTTGTCAGGTCAAAATAACTTATTTTAGAGTTATAATTCTCTGTTGATTTATTTATATTAATGTTAAATTTATAGAAGGGCATTTTCCATGATTATTACCTACTTAAATTCAAAAGATAAAAATATGACTTATTTCATCATCTACTAGTGATTTGTCACTTTAAAATACATTATAATCATACTTTTGTTTAAAAATATAACTATTTATATTTTTGTCTGGGAAAACTCTATGTGTAATATACATGTCATTTTTTTTAAAAAAGTTATCAACTTGTAGATTTATTTTATTTCGTATACAATATGTACTATGAAAATGAGGTAATAGGGGCAAATTATACATTATAATTTTAATTATTCTCAGAATTTGAATTTCATGTTTTTCGAATTCGAATACTCGAATAAGATTCGAATATACCAAACGAATCGCATACGAATATAAATAAGATTCAAATATTAAACAAATACAAATATTTGATAATTATATGAATACAATAATATTTTCAGGTATTCGATTCGATTTGTTTACAACCCTACAGTGTGGTCCGTATTAATTCGAGAGAATTCATCACGCATACGCACAAGAGGAGCTTTTTTTATTACTCCATCTATAAGCGCTAAATAAGTTCTATTTGGACATCGAAAATAAATAATCATATTTTAAATGCTTTCTATTAATACTTTAAGATTTGGAGTCTTAGGGGGTGTATTGTATTAGGATTTAGTGGCAAAATTTTAAAAATCCATGGATTTTAAAATTTTAGGTTATTCATTGTAGACTTTTAAAAGTCTACAAAAGTCTAGATTTATTCAATGTGGAGTTTTAAAAGTCTAAACGTTTTACAGTGTTCACATCATAGTTGTGTGTGAATCATTACGATATATGATAACAAGAATTGCAGTTAGATTATTATAATAAAATCTCGATCAAGCTAGATCATGATATTTATCTACCACACAAATTTCTCTTTAATTAATAGTTACTCGATCTCATCCAAACGAGATGAGGAAGGCCGCAGCAAGATAAGTGTGACGTACCTTTTTGGGATCAAACGTCTTCTTCTTCTCCGCAGGTATTGAGAAACTCTTCTTGATCGTATTTAGTGATCCTCCCCGACTTGTAGCAATATCACCATATATATAATAATCTGCACACCCGTCGGGTACTACAAGTGTTAATAAATTGTCTTTTCCCTTTTTGATGGATTCCACATCGCCCTCCTTCACAATCTGTACCACAGCCTTTACTAGTTCCTTGCTCGGAATATTTTGCAGTTGCATTTCCTGCGCACGCAGTCTAACGTAACACCCAATAGTACAGTACAATTTATAGGCCGGACAACAACTATTACTAGTATAATATCACACGTTTTTTATTTCTTCAAATATTACTAATAGAAGAATTATGTACAAAAATATACCCCCTCCGTCCCGAAATAAATGTCCTGCTTTCCCAAAATGGATGTCTCAAAATAATTGTCCAACGTTGAAACTTTACTTATTTGGTAAACAAATCTATACAAAACAATGTCAAACAGTGCCAAACAGTGTCGCTACAGTGTGAAGTCAACTTCATTTTCTTAAACTGGGTGAAGGTCAAAGTAGGACAATTATTTCGGGACGGATGGAGTAACTTAGTTCTACCTCCGTCCCAAAAAGTAATTCTCAGTTTTACTGGGCACGTTTATTAAGAAAGTGGGAATAAAGTGGCAATATATATGTTTGTGATTGAGTAAGAAAAAAGTAAATGAATATTAGGCACACAGAACATTCTAAAAAGAGAATTGAAATAGGAAGCATTTTTTGGAACATTCCAAAATAATAAGTGACAAGAATTTTGTGGGACGGAGAGAGTAATTTTTAGTGACTATAGTTGTATTTATTATTTGCAACTAGCCACTACACTGTAGTAATTTTGAGCACCATTATAGTCACTAAAAATTACCAAGTCTTGTCCACAATCATTCCATGGTAATATTAGTGGAACTTTCATTAAATTTTTCCCAAAATAGAATCCATTTACTTCTATTTTAGGAAATTTGATCTAACTTATTTTTTTAATAGGACTAAATAAATTATACTGAAGAAATGAAACACAGTTACTCCTATGTTTAAGCTTTATCTATGTTTTAGTCTAGTATTTTCTATAAACTATGAGGCCATTTGGTAACACTGAAATTGGCTGAATTGGCTGATTCTGCTGAAATTTATGAAATTCTGACTGAAGTGGCTGGATTGGCTGATTCTGCTGATTTATTAAAAAAATTATATTTAAAATATTTTTTATTAATAAAATAAAGAAAAAGTTATATGAAAAAGTAGCTAAAATCATCCTCTACTGTAATTTCAGCCAATACAGCCAGAAAAGTAACTCCAACGTTACTTTTTCTTATTATTACACAATTCAGCACGCGAAATAAAAAGTTACGTGTTTGGTGAAAAAGTTGGCTGATAAGCCGAAAAACAAGGTTACCAATCGGGCTCTAAATAGTACTCCGAAAGTAACTAAGTAAGTCAAAGCAAAAAAGTGGATAAGTTTTGAAATACGATTAACTATGTTTTCCTCTCGAAATAGTAACTCCGTTTTGGGGAGAAATGAAAAATCAAACTCCTAGCTATATAGAGAATTTTCTCAAAAAAATTAAAGAAAATCCTTAGATTGGATTAAAACATAGACAAATTAAAGTACATGCAAAAATATGACCATCATTTTTTTCATCCTAAAATATAATTCATTCACTCCCAATTTGAGAAATTTTACACTTTTAATAAGACCAAATAATAAGAGAATAAAACATAAATACTATTTGTGCTTGTACTATGTTTTAATCCTATTTAGAGCACTTTTTTCTTAATATGATGACATATGACTCGCATGTATATCGTCAAACATTTTCTTTTTTATTGAAGAATAATATATGCTCATATTTTAGAATTGTGATGAATAGTTTATATAAGTATTCTCCGCAACAAATAAAATGGATCATGAATACAACATTTCGTCCGTCCATTAAAATTTTGTCAAATTTCATTAACACGATGATTAATAAAGTAAAAATTGTGTGATTGATGTTTGTGCATAAGAGAAAGAATTAAGTAGAACCAAAAATTATTTACTCAAAATAGAAAATAGAAAGTTATCAAATATATGTGTGTCCAATTTGTGAATCATTGATAAAGTTAAATCATTTTGTATAAGATTCACTAATGATAAAGTTAAATCATTGATGTAGATAGTCAAATCAGTTTTGTTAATTAAAGTTTAAATATTTAGAAATTATATATATTGAAAGTTCTATAAAACTGCAAATCCAAATTTAAATATACAGTAGTAAAATATTGATACGTTAAATGAGTAAAATTTGAAAGTATATATGTTGATTAAGAAAATCGATCTGTCTCATAAATAATTTTGAGATGGAGGAAATGAAAATATGAAAATACTACAGTAGTAAATGCGTAGTGTTTGAGAATTGCCTGTTTCATGTTTTTGTTGTCGCCTTTATTATTCTTCTTCTCGTCGTCTTTATCATTATTCTTGTCGTCTTTATTATTGTTGCTCGGCTTCTCCTTCGGTTTGGGAGTCACAGAAACAACATGTGGTTTGAATTCCTTAGATATGCTCATCATCGTTGAAACCACGGCGGCCACCGCTGCTGCGGTGCTCCCGGTAACTGTAATTAGATTATTGGTGGCGTCCAGCGAGATAGATTCCACCTCTGTAATAAACTCTGCCGCTGTTATCATTGCTTGTCTTCTCACCTCAACCTCATCATTGCCCAGTTGCATCACCACAACCTGCGCGCGTTACGTTCATCATCAATATATAATCCATTATATACTTATGAAATCCACAATGAACTAGCAACGTTCAACCTTACTTTTTAAATACGTATTATTCTACAGCGTCAGCTTCGGCTGCATTTGACTTATTGTTGTGCTTTTTTTAATTATTATTGCATTGCTTTCATTTTAAATTTTAAATTGAGTTAATTTTTACATATAGGAATGATGAAACACATCAAATGATCAAAAATGTACATCGACAAATGTGGAAATGGAAATGTTAATAAAAAATGGAAATGATCTTAAGTAAGTTTGATGCCCGGCCCCATACACTAACTATATATAGATTATAGTTCATTATATAAACAATAAAAGGAAGATAGCGACGCAATCAAATAGAAAAATTAAAATAGTCACAAACAAATCATATAAAATTTGGAACATGTCTATCGTTGTAGTAAAAATAAATAAAAAGACTGCTTGCAATAATTTATTCTTCAATTCTTGCATTTTGAAGTGCAAAAATTGTTAATTTTATCACAATTAAAGGTAAATAAAACATTTTTTTCTATTAATAACATGAGTACATAACTAGACCACTTATCTATATATTAAGGGTTACTCCCTCCGTCCTAGGTAATTCTTCTCATTTCGGTTTACGATGTTTGATCAACCACAAAGTTAACTAGTCTCTATCAAAAATAACATTATTTTTAGTAAATAGATTTTACACATTCAAAAACTACATTAAAAATTATATGCAATCGCAAAAAAAAAAACTCAAATTTGATAAAAATCTGATATATTAAGCGAAAAATTAAGAGTACTTTAAATTCATCCGATGAAAAGTGGACATGAACCTTACTTTGGTGTGGAGATATTACTATTGAATGAACATATTTATATTAAAATATTTTTTATCAAAATGTATAGAGAAAAACAGCAATAATGCATTAGTAGTACTCAATTATAATAGAGAATATTAACCGAAATAGGACTAAAACAGTTTGAAAATTTCAAAATAGGACTGTCATGTTTTTTTATTCTCAAAACAGGACTGATTACTGCTATATTTTGAAAGTACCAGACTTCAAACATGACAGTATTTTCTAAATATGGCAGTAATTAGTCCTATTTTGGGAACAAAAAACATGACAGTCCTAATTTGGAATTTTCAAACTGTTTTAGTCTTATTTCGGGAACTTTCCCATTACAGTACTACCCGTAAGTTGTATTACAAACTTCTCAATATTTATAAAGAATAAATTTAGAGCACAAATTTTAATTAATAAATTTGAGGATATCAAATTTAGGGTAATTTTGTGTGTACTTTGTGTGTATGTACATTAAGAATTTTTCAAGTATATTTATATGTGTTAATTACCTGAGGTTGTGAGGCAGCGGTCGCATCTTTTTCGCCTTTTTTCTTTTCGGGCGCATCTTTTTCGCCGTTTTTCTTTTCGGGCGCATCTTTTTCGCTTTTTTTGTTTTCGAGTGTGCCAAATGTTGCAATTATCACTCTCTCATCACCATCAAGTTCACCATCGCCGCATATAGAGCAACAGGAACTTTCTTTATTTTCTACGATGTTCAGAATATGCAGGATTTGTTCATGTTTCATCATCCCTATAATCGTTGCCGATTTGATCACACCATCCTTCTCTTCCACCGCCACCGAATCCACATCCTTAATTCCCACCAAAAGTGGCATCAATCTTTCTTTTTTTACGTCAACGGACGGAGGCACTTTCAGCTCTAATTGTTTTACCTGTCATGATTAACAAAATACAGCATCCTGTCACTCCAACATATACATACACACACACGAATATTCCTGTCCAGCCGGTCCGGACAGGAACCCCGACAGGCCTCCGCCGTTTGGGATGGTTCCATGGTATTTTTTGTTGAAAGTTAGTTTTGTATGTTCTTCATCGAGTCTATTTTATTCATACCAAATTTCAGCTAAAAATTCAATCGGGGAGGCTGACAAATGATTTTTGGAAGATGACTGGGTATGTATATAAAGGGCGCAATTATCTTCCAAAAATCAATTGACTGCCTTCCCGATTGAATTTTTAGCTAAAATTTGATACGGATAAAATAGACTTGATGAGCAACATGCACACACAAAAATCTGCAAAAAATACTACACGGAACCGCCCAAATGACGGAGGCCGGACGGCGCTCCGATCAGGAAATTCCTAACCCGAAGATTACTTCATACATACGTACGTACATACATAGATATAAACACAACACACAAATGCGGATCAGTTAATTATTTAAAGACATGTATGTAGGACGGACCTTGTCCTTTGCCTTCTCCTTCACCTCCATATTTGATCGATCAATCGACAGATTAAGCTATTAGCTAAACCTCCTTCTCTCTCTATATATATAGATTTAGGAAGCCAACTGAGCCAGAAAAGGGAGTACAATATATATATATATATATATATATATATATATATATATATATATATATATATATATATATATATATATATATATATATATATATATATATATATATATATACACACACACTTCATAAAGTGAGATTTATTGGAGTGAGGTTTACTCTCTAAATAAAACTACTTTCTCTATTAATAGTTGCAAGAATATGATTTATGCGTTGTTCCTAATATACTTCCTCCATCCCGTTGGAATGTTCTCGTTCACTATTCATTGGTCAACTTAGGTCATTCCTAATCTTTTATTTTATATATCAAATTTTTATCAAATTGAACTTTTCTTGATCAGGCTTTGTAGCGGGTTTAATGTAGTTTCTGAATGCGTAAATTTTATTTACTAAAAATAAGCGGAGTGTGAACATGGATCGAGTTGTTTTATCGTCAGTCAAGCATCGTAAACCGAACGGGAACATTCCAACGGGACAGAGGGAGTATATAATCAAATTATTATGCATAAATGTTATTGAATATCTATCAATGTGAATTTTCTAAATATTAACTTTTTATAATGTTATAAATATGTAATTAAGTATAATTACATCCAAAATTGTGCGTTGAGAAACATAAAAATTAAACTATTGCAACTAGGAAAATTCTATGGTGCATCTCTAAATTTCGCATGTACGGTACATTTCTTTACGTAGGCAAATAAAATAATGTCACATGAACATTAAAATTCATATATATTTTAATTATTTCCATGTGCTACAATATTATTGGTCCGCGTATGGTACAATCAAATTAACGGGTGCACCGTAGAACTCCCTTGCAACTATTAAAGAATCGAGGATAGTATACTTAGTCTTATTGAATGACTAAAATAACATAACTTCTCAAATAGCTTATGTGTGCACGCCTATTTGAATGAGACTATGATCTCGTCCTAAAAAACTTTATCTACTTGTAAAGTTTGTGTCATGATTTTTATTAGTATACCACTATGAAATTTTGAAATTTTTATTTTAATGAAAATAGTTTTAACAAAGAACATTTTCATATATTTATAATATAATACTATCGTAAATAATTGGGAAAAGTACATTTGAATGGGCTCATTTTCATATAGGGATTTGTGTTTCTTTTCTTAACACAGTAGGTCATGTATTTCTATTCCATTATCACGGGAAGGTTCGATGCGTAACGCCGTTAGAAATCGCTGGAGGAAGATATGATAAGTAACTCTAATTTTCAAAAATGCCTGAAAAATTGAAAGAGTAATATTGGGATGTGCGCCTCGTTAAGTAGACCTCCCATTCAAACCATATTCTCTTTGGATTTTTCGGATCTGTTTGGGTTGTTTTGTAAAAACAAATTTGTTGATATCACTCTTCCGATGAACTTTTCAGCGACAAGGGTGGTTGGGAACAAAAAAGAAAGATGACTTGGAGGTCGCCTTGATGAGGCACATCTTCCAGTATTTCTATTCGAATTTTGCGACCACTTTTGAATATCAGAGTTACTGTTCTTCATCTTCCTCTGCCGATTTCTAACGGTGTGAGACACTAAACTCCTCATGTGATAACACAATTGAAACACATGACCTACTTTGTTAAGTAATAAAATGGATGCCCCTTTTTGAAAAGAAATCTAACCACAAGTACTATTTTCATACATTTTCCCTAAATAATTTCCAATAAAAATGTATAATTTCCAATAATTTGCATTTTATAATTAGTTGTATCCTATGTATGAACTCTTATTATACCGATAACATAATTCAAAAGGCTCATGAAATAATTCTAGCCTATTTTTTGTAGGATTTGAAATAATAGATAGGCTATAGTCAACAAACGTTTCGCCCCCGCCATTGCTAAAATGTCTTAGACCGACGAGCTGCTAGCTGGCTGGCCATATCAATTTTGCCGCTACCTCCATCTGCCTGAGCTTCATTGCTTTTACGTTACAAAAGTCTGTTTCTTTTTCTACCGCCATCTGCTTTCATCCTAAATTTCTGTTCACTGTCTCCTCTTTCTTTATTGACTTGCTCAGTAATTATTAACGAATAAGAATTTAAAAAGAAACGAATTATCGATTCGAGACCTTAGAAGATAAATGTGTTAGTAAAACTATGATCTAAATGATGTAAAGCTATCAATCTACCAACTACAAATTTGATAGATTTTGATTTATTTAATTTCTCATTAATTCCGGTGCTAATTTTTCTTCAAAAAAGTTTATTAATTGAATAAAATTAAATAATATTTAAAATTTTTAAAATAAAAAAATAATAAAATTCCTTAAAATAAATCTTAATTTGATAGTTTTCAATCACTCGGTTCTTCTACGATACATTGCATCTTTCATATTCCGGTTTTAAAATCGATATAATAAGACTTTAATAAAGTAACGCCCCACAATTTATGAAGCCGTTTTCTTTTTAGCATGCCCTGTTTTTACAATAATGCAGAGTGTCACTTTTTTCTAATAGCCCGACGGACCCGGACATCCGTCAGGTTCCTCATTACCTACCTAAACAATCGAGATACTCCGTAGATATTACTCCGTTATTGTGGAACCATGAGAATAATTAGAAGGAACTTTCCTCAATCTTTCCATATTTACTTGAATAGGAGTATAGTATTTACAATTAAAAAAGAATTATATCACACTACATCTTTTTTGACCAAAATTGCTCCAAATAGAGATAAAACATAGACAAAAATCTACAAGAGTGAGTCAATTCTACTCCGATTTGAAAAATTGCGTATTGCATTCTTGAGGTGATATTTACTTCCTTATTTATGTAAATTCATTATCTTTAAAGAAACTATTCTAAATAGGATTAAAAACGTTTTATAGTTCCAAAATATGACTGATATGTTTCTATTCCCGAAATATGATTAATTATTATCATATTTTCGCAATACCAAACTCTAAACATGTCAGTATTTTTCAAACTTGACAGTAATTACTCTTATTTGGAAAACAAAATATGAGAGACCTATTTTGAAATTCAAAACCTTTTTACTCCTATTTCGGGTATTTTCTCTAATCTCTAATGTGCACGGGTATAAGGCCTACCACCATTCTGTCGGGTCAGGATGTGGGGGCTCCTGGCGTGGAAGATTCCACCTTTTGGAACAACTATGAAAGCCGTTTTCTTTCCTGCATGCCCTGTTTTTACACTAATGCGGAGTGTCGTTTTTTTCTAACAGCCCGACAGACCCGGACACCCGTCAGGTTCCTCATTACCTACCTAAACAATTCAGATACTCCGTAGATATTACTCCGTTATTGTGGGACCATGAGAATAATAAAAGGAACTTTCCTCAAACTTTCCATCTTTACTTAAATAGGAGTATAGTATTTACAATTAAAAAAGAATTATACAACACTTCATCTTTTTCAACAAAGATTGCTCCAAATAGAGATAAAACATAGACAAAAATCTAAAAGAGAGTGAGTCAATTCTACTCAGATTTGAAAAATTATATTGTGTATTGCATTCTTGAGGTGATATTTATTTCCTTATTTATGTAAACTGGTCGCGCAAGGTGCGAGAGCTTTTACGCAATGACAATTTTTTTATACGTAAGTAACGTAACTATTATACGTAGTATGTGAGATTGCTTTGGAGATTTTTAAGAGAAAATTATCATTGATAAGACTAAAACTTGATGCATTTCCCAATATATGACTTTGTCATGTTTTTTCCTATTCTGATGGTGCGAGACTATGCATGGTAATTTAGTATCACTTTTTTTTTGTATTTTATATTTTACTCATGCCCTCATTAATTAGTTCAATCAATAGATTTGGAAACTGTCTCCTGGTTTCTAGGCATATGATATGCACGACACACACTTCGTATATGATAACCGTTTTCATTATTATTATTATTATTAATTATTATTTTTAATATAATTAGTTTATTATTAATTATTATACTTCTTCATTTCTAAAGCAATTCGAACTCCTAAAAATAAGGAAGGAAATATATGTACTTGCTACATGTTTTACTGCCCTCGTACACGATTATTGCTCTCTTACACAATCACTTCAATTTTGCATTTACTGTCAATTTCATGTATGGATCATACAGAATATAAGCATTTACTGACTAATAGAATAACCGATTTATTGTCTTTAAGTTACTGCGTATGTCATTAACTGACATCATACGTATTAACTGTCATTTGTGTGTTTACATCCCATTATTTTACTGCCTTCTAATTACTGCCTATGCTCACCACCCTTCAGCGTTTATCACTTCCTCAATTATTGGTGCATGCATTAGGGTGTATTAATTGCTATTCCTAAAAATAAGGAATTAGTTCATATATGTTAAAGAGCATTATCCGTTTCTTATTATAATAATTTCAGGGGTCATGTATGTGATGTTTAATTTAGTCATATCTAAGGTTAAAAACATATGTGGTCATATTCTTGGAAAAGTCACGAGTTTTAGTAATATTAGGGTATTTTCCCGTTTTTTAAATAGTGTGTGAAACTATCCTGTTTTTTGTTAATAATCGTATTAATTATATTTTTAATCCACCAACTACTTTGTGGAAAATTGCCTACATTTCTTAAAACTATGCAATTCTAAGAATTTACTATATTTTTCATTTAAGTAAATGAAATCATTGTAATGACAGATTGATAGTATGTTTTTATTATGAATTGTGACAGGAGTGTTATCACCTTAAATTATGTGCATGTTGAGCTTAAAAAATCCAAATACAAGTGTCCTACAAGCTAAGAGCGGGAAATTTTTTTTTTCTCCTACGTGGGGCTGGTCTGTCTTTTAATTTGTTACATTAGACGCATACCTTACTCAGATGGTCTATCTAATTTAATGTCATGGGTTTAAAAAGAGATGATTGAAGGTGTGGATTCAAATATGTTCTGAGTCGATCTATCCCATCTTGGTGTTGCCTTTGTGAAGAGCTTTCGTTTTCACAGCATCAAGTTTGGATCGAGTTTTTCTTGCTTCAAACAAGTTTTTAGCATGGAATAGGCTACGATGGAAATGCCTAGTTTTTCTGCTTCAAGTTTACTCCATGAGCCAAGTAGATTGCCATCCTTATCTTTACCGACCATAAATTAGATTTGAAAAAAAAAAGATGACACCCCATCCCTGAGGGCTCCCCCAACCCCGATCGGACGGTACGTTGGGAGGATGTAAGTTGCAGAGGCCCTATGCATTTTTAGCATAGTAATCTTTCATCGCAGTTACGGGGATTCAAACCCGGGACCTAACCCTTGTAGCACTCCCTTACTACCAGTTGAGCTACGCCCACCGGTACCATAAATTAGATTTGAAAGAGGCTACGCAGGGCTTGGTTTTGAAAAGTTGAAACGGAATGTTAACTTTAGTAGAGAACAGTAAGGGTAAAGAGGTCCTATTAAAAGTAGGGTTTCATTTTCTAAAAGCAATGTATGTACAATTTTTCATGCATAAAGTGCGTTGACATAAGTCAAGGATACCGACCTTCATTCACAATTATAATTGTTCTAAATAGGAGAAACCATTTTGGAATTCCAAAGAAGGACTGATATCTTTTTTTATTCTCGAAATATGAGTAATTATTGTCATGTTTTTGCAATATCAAACTTTAAATATGTCAGTACTTTTCAAACTTTGCAGTAGGGGTGGACCCGGTCGGCAGTCCTGGACCGGACCGGAACCGGACCCGCCACTGTGCGAGACCAAACCGGATCCGTTTTTCCGGTCCCGATCTTGAACCGGGTACCCGACCGGGTATATGCGGTCTCAGTCTTGAGTCAGTGTAAGGGATCGGATCGAGCAGTCCTAGTTCTGATCCCAACATTTTTTTTTTTTGAATTTTAATTAGGGGGGGGGGGGGGGGGGGGGGACTGGGGTGAGGCTGGGCTTAATGGCCAGTGACATCTATTTGGCCGTTGGGGAGGGCTGGAGGGGTTTGGGGGGGGGGGGGTTGGGGTGGGGGGTTACCAAATGTATTTTATTTTTCAACTTTAAACTATTCTCAATTGTAATTTTCAAATGTGATATTGGTACAAGTGACAATGTAGTGTTTAAAATAAATATACATCATATATAAAAAAAGGATCGAACCGCCCTGGACCGGATCGGAACTGAGGCCCTGGACTTAAACATGCATTAATGATGGGTTACCCAGGCCGGTTCCGGACCTCCCCTTTCATGAACCGAGACCCAGCCGGCCCAGACCCGAACAAGGCCCGAATCGTAACCGGTCCACCCCTATATACATCTGTTCATAATTTTTTAAAGTAATTGTCCTATATAGGACTAAAATAGGAGAGAAATGCAAAAATAGGACTTGATATGTTTTCTTCCATTAATAGGACCAAGTAACTCCTATTATTAAACATACGAAAATTACCATCCCAAATTTGCCCCTGCACCCATTTACCTATTCTTTCTCCCTTCTCCCTCTTATTAGATCGATCATTCCTTCTCCATACCCCAAGGCAGAGTAACTGCATCTCACCTTCTCCCCGTAGATCTGCCGCGTTGCCTATTCCACCGCACGATACTTCCGTCGCACCGCCTCTGCCTTCGTCGCATCTGCTACCTCCACTTCGCCGCCTTCACCATCCACCACCATCGACTTTATTTTCCTTCGGATTTCAGGTTTTTTCCGTTTTTCTTCTTCTTCTTCTTCTTCTTCTTCTTCTTCTTCTTCTCCTCCTCCTCCTCCTCCTCCTTTTGCTTCTCCTTCTTCTTCTCCTTTTGCTTCTCCTTCATCGTCTCCTTCATATTTCTATTCTTCCGTTTTTCAGGATTTTGACACAGATTTTTCCAATTTTCAAAGATCTATTTTCGTATTTCAAATTTCTTATTTCTTAGTATTTAAAAATTCTGTTTTTCTGGGTTGTGGATGATGGCATAGGATTATGCCATGTTTATGGCAGAAATGCACACTGACTTTCATAATATGGCAAAAAAGTTCTATGTAAACTCGCTTTTCTGATTCTTTTTTCATTTCAAATTTTTGCCAAATATATGACAGTTTTGTGTTACTATCCCAAGATAAATCGGCCAAATGTGTGGCAGATTTGAAATCCGTGTTCATGGAAGATTTCAAATGAATCTCCAAGATTGAATCTGTCAACTATTTGGCAGTTTTTTGAGCCAGAGTTGTGACGACACCGACAGCGGTGCTTGGAGGTCGAGTTTCCACTGGTGATGGTCGGAGGGTGGTGCCAGCGACGATGGAAGCAGCAGGCGGCAGCGAGGGCGGCGGCAAGTTGCAATTGTGTTGAGGCGGGCTGAAGTTCTCGGTGTGAAAATTTAGGGTTTCATGATATTTTAATTTTACGTTTTTAATTTTAAATTCAAATAAAAACTGAATGGTGGGCATTTTTGTACAATAGGTGGTTTTAAATCCTATGAAACATAGACTCATTTTTTGGTCCTATTTATGCACACTAAACTTGTTTTAGTCCTATATAGATAATTAACTCAATTTTTTAATTCAAATTTAGGGTTGGGCGGGATCTAACATGACTCCTCCTTAGTCCCTACCCACATCTCTGATGGGTAGACAAGAGATAAGATGCAAGACGGTTTGGTAAAAACTTAGATGCATTTATTATATGACATCTTACTGTATACAAATTAGAGTGGAAAAATTGCACAAATTCCCTCAATTGACACCACAAGTCCACAACCATAGGGTGGCGCCGTCCATGAGTAGATTACTATTAGATTCATGTCTCCTATGTCCCAAAATAAAGTTCAATCCTTCCCTTTTGTCTTTCACAATATTTCTATTTTCTCTGCAATTTTAGACACACTTTCAATTTTCTAATCCTTCTTCCAAGTCAAAATAGGAATTAATTATGATACGAAGAGAGCATCATTTACACTTTTTTCATTTTATAAGAACTCTCATGTCGTGCATCACTCAGATGAAAAACTAGTTGTGACACACAAGCATTTATTATAGAAAAGAATGTAATCAAAACCAGGTTCTAGAGTCTGGACTGTGTAATGAAAAAAAATTGATTAGATTATTCCTTTAAAAAAGTGATAAAAACTCCAAATCTCAAAATGTATTCAAATCTCTTCTCCCTCTTACCAAATGCTCCCTGCCTTTAAAAAAATCATGAAATTTAAAAAATGTTGCCAAAAAGGTCATGCCGACGATGACCACATGTGGCAAACTCCGCTGCAATGTTTTCACAAAAAGAATGAAAGTGTTGCCTGAAACGTCACCAAAATCCATCGATAATGCTCGTAAAGCTTTTACTATCATAATCACACAAAAAAACATAAAATGATGATATTCGTAAAAGAAAATTTTTTCATCTCATGGCGCAGCTGAGTTTTACTACCACAATGACTCAGCTTTAGCACCACCACTAGTATGATTTCGCGAAAATGGCAACTTCATGGGCTGAATTACCAGTCATCAAACACTTCTTTGACCCCTCAGGCTGCTCGAAAGGGAAGCATCTAATTGTCGCTCCAGTTTCTTCTTTCACTTTTAACTCATCACTGTCACTGTAACATTGAACATAATTTATTCAAAGTTCAGTATAGCATTGCTACGGTCATGAGAAAAAACACTTGTCTTATTGCCTTGTGGGTCTGGGACTTTAAAACCATCATCAAATACAAAGCATAGGCAAGTTCAGTATAGCATTGCTACGGTCATGAGAAAAAACATTTGTCTTATTGCCTTGTGGGTCTGGGACTTTAAAACCATCATCAAATACAAAGAAGCATAGGCAGACTTACCTGGCTGACCATGGTCCTCTTGCCCATTTTCCTTGAGATATTGCCTCCTTGAGCTCATTGTAAGTGCACACATCCACGATGTTACTACAAAGATAATTCAAGCATCAGCAACTCAGTAAATAGAAAGTCTCCATATAGAAAGCACACTGCTACGGGCTACTCATAAAAAGCCAAATGCTACGTATATCATCGGAATAATTATGAGTTAAGTCCCTAAATAGTACTAAAACAATAAATAAGGGCACAAATAGAATTTCTATGTTTAATAGGATTAAAAATGTGCTCACTTGACAACATTACGCTTAATGAATTTCTAACCCTATCTATATTTAAAAAACAAAATGAAACCTAGAACTCTAACGATCTGTGTTACTTTTGATGGCAATGGCGCCGCCACCAGTTCTGGACATCCAAAATGGCCATCTTGCCGCGTAAAAACTATTTTATTGACAGCATAAAAACGAAACGATTATGCCATCTTAACAAAAAATGACATAATATTGACATTTTCTTTCATTACACTTGGCATTTTATTGAAGAAAATAAAGAAGTGCCATAATATAAATGTCAAATCTGTCATAAAATTGGCAATGCACTCTGATCAATGTCAAAATAAAAGTTTCAACTCATTTGAGGAGAAGAGGTAGAAATCTAGGGTTTTCATCTTATTATATAAGAGGGCACTATGATCAACTTTTAGTCCTATTTATTGCAATAACTAAATAATTATTATGACGTCACGTGTTCATACATTTGTAACTGCTCACGTACATGACTTTGTCAAATTCAATCAACATGAAAATCAAAAGTTCTAAATATGTGTACTTTTGTAGCAAGTGGCGTGCAACCTTTTATCAATGTAATGAAGGAAAAATAAATAGAACAATCATCATGCCATAGATCATTCATACATAGAATAGGAAGTTGATGTGATTTACCTATCTCGAAAAGATGTTGCCCTTTCCAAAAGGGAAGATTGAACCTCAGTCAACTTCGCTTTGACATATGGCACTAGAGTTGAAGGTTCAATTGAAATTCCAAAAACTTTCCCTTGCTTTCCTGGAACATCCCTTCTAGAGATGACTACACTTCTACTTGAAATATCTCGAGGTCCAATCTCAATTCTGAGAGGAACTCCCTACTAAAAAGAAATCACATTAAAGGATTTCGCCCACGCACGTGATATTGCTTATTTGCCAACCTTTTCTAGTTAAATATACTTTCCTGCATAGTGGTATTTCTTAATCTTAAGGGTTAATTATCATAAGCTAACATACCTTCATTTCATAGAAGTTATATTTCCACCCGGGTGTCCTCTGTTCAGAATCGTCAATCTTGACCTTGATTCCTGCAGATTGCAGTATTCCTTTGACAGATGATGCAGTTGTAAGAACTCCTGTTTTTTCATCATCCTTCTTCCATATCGGGATTATTATAACCTGAAGCATTCACTAGCTAATGTTTGATTTCCTAGTAATCAGCAACATAACAGCGGAACACTTGTAGCAAATAAATAATTTTCATGCTAACAAACATGTGAAGTACCTGTACTGGTGCTAACCAGGGAGGCAACATCAAACCACCATCATCACCATGTGTCATAATAATACCACCTACAAACCGAGTGCTGATTGCCCATGATGTCTGCCATACATGTTTCCTTAGCCCATTTTCATCAGTGAACTACATAAGGGTGCAAAAGATGGTGTAAGAAGATTCTAGACTAGAAATATATCAGAAGATTTAATTTATATTAAGCATCGGAGAGCTATATATTAGAAAGTACCAAATAGTACTCCCCTCCGTCCCAATTCAAGGTTCCTAGACAACATTCATTAGGTCATCTTACTCTCTTTTAATCTCTAATTTTATACAATAAATCTTATAAATTTTTCTTACATTGCATTTCAATACAACTTTTAGTATAGTTTCTGAGAAATATGTATATTTCAATTATTAACACTAATTTAAAAGTTATAAGGGAAAGGTTAACTTTATAGTATGTCAACAATCATAAACCGAACTGAGAATGTTAATTGAAGGTTGAGACGGAGAGTAATAATTTGAAATATGACTCTTTGGTAGTTATTGATGAAAAACCAAATAGTATGATCTTTAGTATTTATTATATAAGTTATTCAAAATAGAGAATAATATGATAAGTTGATGTGAGCAGGGAACTAAGCAACCTGTTGGTTTCAAGTTCCTAAGAGTCCCGTGGCACAAGCTCAAACCAAGAAGGTGACAAATCACATGTTAATGCTAGCCCAAGAGATGGTGCTGTTTTTGAAATTGAATGTTAAAGTAGATCAATATTTTAACTTGGAACTAACACTGTAAGAGTTATAAAATTAGGGATATTTGGAATTATAATTGGTCTAGGGTTGAAGGAAAATCAAAGGATAAGGTTTTAGCTAAGCTAAAAGATTAAGCTATGGAGGATTTTGAATTTTTGAGTAAGGGGTGTTAGAGATGAGGTTTTGGCAAGGAGATAAGGATTCCAGTATGGAGGAATGTCAAACAAATTTGGAAATGAGTGTTTAAAAAGCAGGTTTTAACCTAGCTCGCAAGCCTTCAGCCACTTATACTTCTAAGGGTCCAATCAAAGTATTAACCGAGTACTAAATTAAAACACAGTTGGATTTTTATAGTTTTAAATTCACTAGGCGCCTAGCATCTTGATACCTGGGAGGGACCTAATCTAGGACTAGATGGCACCCAAAATGAAGGGCAACATCAGCCTAATTTTTATATATTTCTTAATAAAGCCTATTTGACAAATACTGAAGTTTCAAATATATCAATACAAGTACTTAACAATGTAACACATTATAAACTAGCATATATTACATACTAGCAGACCAAATAAACTAATAATAAGGTCATAAGGGTTACATTGCAATAAAAGTCGACCGTTTAATTCCCAAAACGGCGGTTGATGACATGACGTTAATGCAATGTAACATTATAAACTCATACAAAAACTCTATCTAAGATTTATACATGATGCCATACCTAAGTAACCTTCTAAAGAAGGAATAACAATGACATAAAGTTTCAAAACCACATCAGACCCTAGGTTTACGCACTTATTATATGGGAGTAATAAGAGACGAGGATATGTTGAGATAGTTGCAATAGTCATGGACTCATGGGCCTCATGGCCCACAACGGAATTGCTAATTGCCATTAATCATACGTAATGCAAATTTAAGACAAACACTCAAATAGTCATAGGCTCATAGCAATTTAACAATGTCTCTTGTTGTGAGAAATCAACATTTTTCTCTGCAGTTTTACTTTTGCTTTAAAATATCCCTCATGAAATCCGAGCATGACGGGCATTAAAGATAAGGTAAGAACCAAGTAACCAAATATGTTGATTCCCTTTGCTTGTCAGAAAGGTAAGTTCTCCATACATAGAATTGAAGTGTTGGGTGTCAAATTATTGGATATATCTAGGGGACCGAAAATGACATGTGTTAAATGTTTACATAAAGGCATTCAAGTGTTAAAACTTCAAGTTCATATAGACATATACAACATTAAAATAAATAGCAAGAGTGTTATACTAGCCTTGATGCATGTAGCCAACCCGAGTGATTTAGGATTAAAGCTTAGTAGTAGTTGGTTGGTTATTGTGTACTCACTACATCCCAGTGTGTGTTCTGTGCGTTTCATTCAAGATTAAATAATAAAATTTCATGGTAAATATATGAATGCATCATTTAGAGATTACTTAATGGGGAAAATACGGAAAATGTACTTGTGGTTGAGCTCGTTTTTAGATAGGGTCATGTGTTTCATTTTTTATCAAAGTGGTTCATGTGTTTAAATTCCGTTATCACAAGAGGGTCACGCCGTTAAAAACGCTTGAGAAACACAGTTAATAGTAACTCCAATTTTCAAAAGTGCCCGAAAAATTAAAAGAAAAATACCGGAAGGTTGCGCCTCAACAAGACGACCGCTAGAACATCTTTCTTTTTTGTTTTCAGCAACCCTTGTCACAGGAAAGTCCACCGGAAAAGTGATATTAGCACAATCATTTTTAAAAAATAATTCAAACAAATCCTAAAGATCCAAAGGTGAAGGTGTTTTGGAGGTCATCTTGACGAGACGCACCTTCCAGTATTTTTCTTTTAATTTTCCGAGCACTTTTGAAAATCGGAGTTACTATTAATTGTCTTCCTTAGACGTTTTTAATGGCGTGACCCTCTTGTAATAATAGAATTCAAACACATGAACCACTTTGATAAAAAATGAAACAGCTTATCTGAAAACGAGACGAACCACAAGTATCTTTTCCGTACTTTTCCCTACTTAATATTACCACATACAAAATCTTTCCATCAAAGAAGAGACAAAGGTGTAATATAAAAACAAAAAAGTGATTCTTTTTTACAGCCTAAAAGATGCATCTTAAAGTAATGATAACACAATAGAAGGTATAAATAATGAATTCAATGGTAAATGTTGCAACTTCTTAAACAAAACTCTTTTCTACAATGCTAAATGCATTGGAAAAAGAAGCTATTTATATGAAACTCATCATCATCAAGTCAATCATTGTTGGGGCCAGTGCTATGAAATTTATAGTACCAACTCTCTAAAATTAGTTAACAATTTAACACAAGAAGCATGAAGTACAAACCACCATTGAAACATATTGCACTTACATAATTTATAGTATCCTTAAGTCTAACCATGACTGACTCTTATATAATACTCCTATATTATAATGGCATTAGTTAATAACACGAACAAACATATATGCACTACTAGTCTAGTACCATATCCCAAAAATATGTGTCCTTTTTTGCTACTGACATCGCCATTTGGATTGTGTGCAATTTTTTTTGCCTGTAATTTAACGTATTGAATAGCTTTTACAAACCTGAGTTCCAAATGCTCGAGAAAAGTTCTGACCCAGGTTGTGGCTAGTTCCTGCCTGCAAAGCCTTTCGGTCACCCATCATTGCCTCAATTGTGTAGGTTTTGGAAGCACCGGCAAAGGTTTCCAATCTTGATTTTCGACCTGCAATTACAGGAATTGCAGCTTGCTCATAAGCAAATTTTACATAGACATCAATCATCTGCATTGCCTGCAGTTAAGGAACCCAACTTATCAAGTGAAAATGGGAATGCCAACTAAAATCGTGAACCACATGGTGAAGAAAAAACGTGGAAAAAAACCTCTTTTTCGGCCTCATCTGCTGTGGCGTGGGCAGTATGGCCCTCCTGCCAGAGAAACTCTAGTGTTCTAATGAATGGTTTTGTACGCATTTCCCATCTCGTAACATTTGCCCACTAAAGCACATTAAACAATGAAAATAAAAGCCAGAAAGCAAAAAACAAGTGAAGGTAACAATAACGGTGTGCTTGGTAAATATCAAGGAATGGGAATTTGTATGGTTTTGAAACAAAGGAATAACGGGTTCCAGATTAAGAGTTTAAGACTTGGGATATCATCCTATCAAGTTAACCTATTAAGAGTAGATCGGTCTTACATGTTGGTCTTACCTTAATACGTGGCCAGTGTGGGATCATTTAACATTACATACCCCCATTAGGGAGGTGTATGGCTCAAATACCCAATATTCAAAAGTGGGAACCAAACCCATAGTGGGAACACATACCCAAAGCAAAGTATCATTCTATTCCCACATGGCCATATGCCCATATCCCATTTCCCAAACCTCCTATCAAGCACCTAAGTGATGTGATGAGAGAAACCTGGTTGATCATGAGAGGAAGATCACGGTAACTATGAATCCACTGAGTAAACATGTGATTCACAATAGTTTCGCTTGTAGGCCGAACCTGCCAGAACCTCAAAAAAGGTTGCAATCAAACCAGTACTCACGTCATATAAAAGCATAAAACAAGCTTTTCTTACAACAAGTTTGTTAAAAGAAATTTCTTGAGACATAAAAAAGCATGCTTACAACAAGCTTTTCTTCAAGTTCTTTTCCACCTCCAATGGTTACAAGAGCTAATTCAGGACAAAAGCCCTCAACATGGCTTACTTCTTTCTCAATGAAGGAATATGGTATGAACTGCAATTATAAACCAGAAAAGTGAGCAATTGAAGGTACACCAATCATCCGAATTAAATTGTTAGAATATGGTCCATCAAACATTGGAGAACTCAAATATTGGAATATGGTCTGAACTTCACTAATAATGCATGGAACTTCATTTCGCAGTAATAAATCAGCAGTTGAAGATATCATAATGGGAGATTCAAGTACTCTGCTCAACTGTTACTCTCTACCTGTGGAAAATACATATTGCTGTGACCCGTTTCCTTAAACTTTACGTTCAAGTATTCCTGCATTATTTCGAAAGAAAGATGCTAATCAGCTTAAACCATTCACATAAAATTATGTTTCTCACCAAAAGAATAGATTGAAACATTAGCAGACGATGAATGAAATGAAAGTAAGGCAGTACCTGAATGGCCTCCCAAATCGCGTAGCCATAGGGTCGGATAACCATAGTGCCCCGAACAGGACCGTAATCCGCGAGCTCCGCACTGGCAATGACATCTAAGTACCAGGCGTTGAAGTCCTGTGACCTGGGAGTTATCTTTCTTTCATTCTCCTTACACTGGACTCGAGGCTTATGTTCCTCGGATTCGGAAAGGATCCCCTTCTCCGCGGTGCTCTGTGCAGAGAAAGTGCCTGACGAGAGGCGCCGTAGAGGTTGGTTGAAGTGAGATGGGAAACGAGGAAGCAGCGGAGAACATCTAGCGGCGGCGGAGGACGAGGAAGTGAAGATTGAAGTGAGGGCAGGAAGTCTCAGAGCCCCCATTGACTATGGTATTTGCGGAGGAATGAGGTTCTCGGCGATGGTATTTTAATGGGTCAAAACACTCGAAATTATCTGCTGATTTGACTGTGTTGAAATTTATGAGTGGGCAAAGCATGCATTAATCTAGACTTGGAAGCGTTCAATCATAAATGATTGTAATACCCGTCCCGAATTGAATTGCAAACTTTGACCGGCACAAGGATTAAGAAATGACAATAAATGAGGCTTGCTTTTTACACTTTTGTCCATCTTTCTAAAAGTAGATGTCATTAAGTTAATGAGGAAAAAGTAAAAGTAAGGGTAAATTTGTCACTTTATCATTATTTACATATCTAAAATAGAAAGTGGAAAACCATTTGGGGAACATCAAAAAAGGAAATTGTGTCATTGACACTTTTGGTACTCGACTTTTAATTTTTTCAATTTTAATCATCGACTATTGTGCTAGAGACATTTTTAGTCCTTGACTTCAAAGTTTCTAACATTTATTCCTCTGAGTATTATCAAATTGACACTTTTAGTCCTTCCACTATGATTTTGATACAATAAATAGAGGACTAAAATGTTATTATTGTTACAATTTATGAAAGTCAGAGGACTAAATATTAAAATTTTCAAAGAACTCTAGCAAAGTCAAAGACTAAAAATGGAAAAAATCAAAGTCGAGTACCAAAAATGTCAATGAAATAAAAAACGGAAGACTAAAGTGGCAAAAACTCTAATGTTGTGCTTGACTGTCCAATGGAGTATCGCAAGGATTTTATTCGAGGGACGTTTGGTGATCTATGGAGGAGTCATAGTTCTTTGCCTACTTTTTAATGCTCTGTAGTTCATAGTATAGATGTGAAGACTATTTATGATTTATGTTGTTGAACCATAGATGTTTGATATTTAGTTTGAACGTCATAATGACATTATAGTTATACGTAGTATTTGACTTGCATTACTTAGTTTATTCATTGTTGGAATAATTTTAGTTTTTAAATCTTAATTTAAAGAGAAGAGCTTGTTTGAGGGCTAAGTATTTCAGTTTTTTTCTTTCGACTTTGAATGGTTTAATATAAGCCAACAGTTTCTAATTAATAATAATTTCAATAAAAATAAATAATTAGTAAAATTTCACTTATTTTTTAATATATCATGATTTATTTGTGAATTTAGCTAGTAAAATTTAGATTCAATACATTTATCTAACTTTACAAAACAAGCTATCAAATAAGGATAAATTAGGAAATTTATCTTGTTAATTTTTCTTCCTCCGGCCAAACACAAATTCTTGTCAAGATCCCCTCCCTTCCCATTCCTCCCCTAGCCTCCTTGACACTCCCCCTTTTCTCCCCCCTCTTTTGAACCAAACAAGGGCTAAAAAATATACTCCCTCCGATCTCAAATGAAATTCACATTTTTAGTTCACACAAATTTATACTCTAAATTTGACTTAATTTAGAGTATATTGTTGTGACACTGTTTGACATTATTTTGCACTGTTTTGATGTAGATAGTTTGTCAAATAAGGAAGGGAGAAGAAGTGTGAAGTTTATTGGACCTACCCAAAAAGAAAAGTGTGAATTTCATTTGGGAGCGGAAGGAGTATTACTTTCACCCTATATTCAACACAAGCTTTTTAAGAATTTTAAGAAAGTGCTGTGTGCAAGCTCATTTTGAGCTAAAATGGCGTGCAATTGCGCAAATCATGAGTACGAAGTATTATACTTGTTGAAAATATAACCTCCAAAGTTGCAGACCAATTTATTTGTGACTTCCTCCAAATGCTCATTCAGAATGTTAGAGAATTCAAACAAAATGGTACATATAAGATCATAGACAAAACTTCTACATTCACAAGACATCATATATTTAACAAAACCTAGGGTTCTACATTCACAATAAGAACACTTCAACTAATTTTGTATCACCTTTAAAAATGTGACCGATTGACAAAGTTGAAACATACTCAGTATAATACTCCAAAACAAGCTAAAAAGATGAGGAAGTTTCTTCTTAGCACCACACCACAAGCATAGAAATCTGGAAACAAATTTAACCACTGAAGTTAAATTTAACCACAAGTACCACACCACTTCTTAGCAAACTGAACTACTAGAGCTACTAAAGCTTGAGACACAAATTTACGTATATGTTGGCTAATTAGACAACAATCTGCTGGGCATTCATTCAACACTTCTTTGGGAGCATTGGGGTTTCAATCAGTGAGAACTCTGGAACATCTTCCCCCCAGCCCATACATAGTGGCAGCGCCTTTGGAGACATTGGTGACTCCCCACAAACAGGTGTGCTATTGTGCAAAGGAGTCAGCTGCAACTCTGGCAGTTCTTCCAATTCCAAGTTCTTCACTCCTTCACCCTGGTTCTTCACTCCTTCATCCTGGCACTCAAACAGATCATATATTAAAAGCAAAACTATTAAATAAACATGTGACCTCTAAATAAAACATTTGACTCCAAAGAGGTATATATTAAAAATATATGCATTATGCATATTACCTTTGACCTCAATGGGGGTGGATAAGCACGTGGAGTGAGTAATACTAGTTTTGATGAATCTGTCAAGTAAACAAAAACCAGATTGAACAAGAGGATAGTCAGTTTTTTTGTTGAAAATGAAATTTATGAGGTAAATAAACTAGCAAGTTATTTTCACCATTAGCTTCCTTAAGAAAACAGCAGCTCATGTCCATGGCCTTCTTTTGTTCTTGGATGCACTTGTCGTGATTGTGCAGAAACCCCTCCTCAGCCACAGAGATCATTTTCTCATCATACCCTTTTTTGTGCACCTGCGGCTTAGATAGCAGCAGCGCTGTAGAGTTAGTCAGATCTCCGAGGGGCTTCCTGCCACCAACTTGCTTCTTCTTTTTTGAATCTTCAACATCTTTCCCCACAATTGAGGGGTTGGTGGTTGCTGTTTTCTTTGATGATGCCTGAAGTGCAGATGGTGTTGCAGCGTTTGATATATCATTAAGTGCTCTTCTTCTGGCACCAACCATTCCTCCTCCTCCCTTCTTTTGATCCTTGGAGATACTGCTGTTATTAGTGTTCGTCCCAATAGAAGGTCCTGCAGGAGCCATCAACTTAGGTAAATTTCTTGGAATACACAATGAGATTAGAAATTCGACTCCTCTTTATATACACATATAAATTAATATTGTACCATCACAGTGAAGGTTGATGACATTCTGATCTCGCACGAGTTGACTAGCCCGGGTTGTCATGGTTGTTGCTATTTTCCAGAGAATATCCTGCACTTCATACTTCACTCATGAGAGAGTAGAGACAGAATTGTTGATACAATAAAATCTAGACTAACAACATACGTAGTATATAACAATAATCAAGACAGCAGAAAATAACAAAAAGAGCCATATACATCCTCTACTCAATAAAGTATTTCAGTGATTCGAAATATATTTTAAATTATCACTCAATTTTATATAGTTATCCACTCTTGACACAATAGAGAAAAAAACAAGAGAATTTATTTCATCCACATTCCACACAAAGCCTTCGAAGTAAACCGATAATAGTCATCCTACAAACATCAATGTGGGTGGACATCAAGTGTACAAAATTCAACCGAGAGAATTGATAGCATCAACACACATCCTTCGAAGAAAACTGATGATAATCATCCTACAAACATCAATCTGGATGGATATCAAGTATACATAATTCAACAAAGAAAACTTGAATTTGTATAAAATTCAATGTAAACGCCCCTGCACAGATTACGAACACATAACACAGAGGGTGTTCTTCTTGGGATCACTTTACAGGAAAAATAAACAAAATGGCACAGATAACAGCCTTTTTTACATGAACAAACCATCAATCCGTAATGAGAAACGCATGTTTTCCATTAAATGCAAGAAAAAGGGAACGAATTAAGAACCTGGTTAGGAAAACTCACAGAACTTTAGTAATAGATTGAATCAGTACGGCCTTGAGTCGAAGGCTAATCTTATGCTACTCTGAGTTTCTGATCGGACGAAATCTAAGGAATGGCGAAAGAGTGAAACTGGGCGGTGGGATATTTATAGTTAAGAGCGTCTTGCAACGGTCACATTTGAATTTTTGAATTGGAAAACCGGAAACGGAACGCGCCACTGGCTGACACATTTTTTGAAAATAAAGAGAGAGAGAGAGCATCAGGTCTTACCCGTTACAATGAATTTGGCTCCGCTCTTCTCCACTACAGCACAGATACCTTACTGAGTAAGATACAGAAAATGCAGATACACGGGAAGAGGAAAAGCTTGTAGAATACGAGTACTTTTTTAAGTTTTTTGCATCACTCAAAATTAGCCCTTTTATAGGAAATAAAAGGAAGAACTATCAAATATGTTCTCGAACTTTCATAAAAAATGTAAATAAGCCTTTTTATAGGAGACTTTGTCCGGCCTTCGCCATTTGGGCGGTTTCCGGTGCAATGTTTTGATGAAATTTTTTTATCATCTTGTTCATTAAATCTAGTTTACTCATACCAAATTTCAGCTAAAAATTCAATCGGGAAGACAGCCAAATGAATTTTTTAAGATAACTGCGTAGTTAGAAAGCGTAGTATATTTCAGAAAATCATTTGACTGCCTTCTTGATTGAATTTTTAGCTGAAATTTGGTATGGATAAACTAAACTTAATGAAGAAGATGCTCAAACAATTTCATCAAAAATTCCACCGAAAACCGCCCTAAATGACGACGGCCGGACAAAGCCTCCTATAAAAGGATTTATTTGCACTTTTTATGAAAGTTTGAGGGCTTATTTGATAGTTCTCCCTAAAATAAAATAAAAACTCGAAATTGAAAAATTAAAATTAAAGAGTTAAAAATAAATCTTTATATTTATGTTAAATTATACACTCTTTAATTAAATTATAAAATTAATATTTTTTCGTTGTAAATGAAGAACTTCAAATTCATAAATATTAATTTTAGACTTATTGCATATTTTGAACACATTGTTACATTTTTTGAAATAACATTCTTTTATTTTGTTTAACCTTAAAAAAATCACTATTTTGTAATCTAGGATATTTTTATCATTATCATACAAATATGTAATTTTATGGTACAAAAAATACAAAAAATCAATGATTTTTTTTTACATTGCAAAACATGTTAAAACTTTTTCGAAAGAATCTTAAATATATAGTATAGTTTTGAAATAATACTTTATGCTAATAATATTAAACTGTGATATAAAATTAATAAAAGGGAGAATTGGGCACAAGTAGATTTTTAACTTTTTCTTTTTTTTTTAATTTCGAATTTGTAATTTATTTGTGGTGTTTTTGGAAATTTATTTTATCTATTTAAAGTCAATAAGGGTAAATTTGCTCTTTTATAGAACATGAAGAGTATTTTTGCACCTTTTAAAAGTTCAGCTGTATATATGCACTTTCACGTAAACTTCAGGGGTATATTTATTCCAAAAAATAGAACAAAGATATATTTGTTCTCACAATCATACTAAAGCAGTATATTTGTACCTTTTCCATTCTCATTAAAACATAAATATTTAAGAAATGATGAAATAATTTACGTATGCGTATTAATTATAATAGAACATTAGAACCTATGTGAAGTTGAGATGCTTGTAAAAGTAAAATAGGACATAAATAGTTTGTTTAATAGACAATAGTCCGGACATGAGAATAAAAGCATAAATGTTATAGGTTTTGAAAAATCTCCTTGAACACAACATTTGTGGTGGTATCTCGTATCTAATGGTTTTCCCGCCTTGTCGTGTATCAAGATCTTCAGTCCTTTTTGCTTTAAACCTTTGATAAAGCGACATATGTTCATGACTAAAACCCGATCTTGGTAAATATACTCCAACGTTCGCTAGTCATTGTCCTTGAGATTTGTTGATAGTCATGGCATATGAAACAACAATAAGGAATTGTCTCCTGATAAACTTGAAAGGCTATGGTGGTTGGGAAGAAGACATACACATGAGAGGAATATAAATCTCATTCCCCATGTTAAATCTCATTCCCCGTGTTGTTAGCGGACAATGTTTTTGCGCCAATAACATGATTTCATAATCTCGTCACAACTAATCTTGTCCTATTGCATAATCGGTAGAATTTTATTAATAAATTATATTATAAATATAATTTTTATAAATCTGTAGAATTTACCAATCCAGTCACTTCAATCAGAACTTCATAAAGGAGACCAGAATCAACCGGTTCAGCCAATTTCAGTATTATCAAATGGGCTCTTAGTGAACAATATAAATTGGTTACAGATGCTTTGTATTGAAAAAAGTCATGTTCAACACTATTTGTCCCTAGTTCCATTCACAACGGCATGCATAGAAAAATACATAACGGATTGAAATTCAACGACAGAGACAAAAGGGATATAGCCAAATCACAAGGATAGTAGGCATGGTCTGGGATCCTTTGATTATCTTTCGGTCATCGTAACCGTTCCGGTTGTCGTATAAGGCAACATGAAACAAAAAATTAAAACATTGTATCAACGATATTAACATCAATACAGTCATATTAGGGGTTGATAATCAACTTCAACCATATCTTAAAGAAGGCTTGAAGGACTGCTATCGTTAGAAAATGCCCAAAAGTCTATAGAGCGAAAGTGACAACAAAAGTCATCAGCATAACATATGATCGTCTAAAGGAATGCACCGACAAATGATGAAGGTGGTGGAGGCACACACATTATATAGGTCTATGTTACGTTTGAGTAGTTGTACAGGTTTAATATCACGTATTGGTGGTAGCTTCAAAGAGAAAGTGCTCGGTAAAGCTGCTGGTGAGTCAAACCAAATCGTCAATCTCATTGAAACAGGAGTGATCAAACTCGACCTGGTGCAGGGATATCACCTCTTCCCATCCTTCGATTTTGTCAATGTATGAGACCTTATGCAAACCATGGGAGGGCTGCTTGGTGGTGAAACTCTTAGGAAAAAACATTGGGTATGGTGCTCTTTGTGAGAAACTACGCACACTATGGAAGATTTTAGGGGGATATGAGGTTCGAGACATTAACCACAGTTATTTCCTCATAAAGTTTGACTTGGATTCAGATAAGGATAAAGCCTTGTCAAGTGCCCATTGGCTCATATATGACCATTATCTCTCAGTTAAGCCCTGGATGCCGGATTATGTTGCTGCAGACACCAAGATCAATACAACATTGGTTTGGATTCGCATCCTAGGCCTAGGGTTTCAGTTCTATGATCAAAGCATTCTATGCACCCTAGCCACGGCCGTTGGGATCCCCATCAAAGTCGACATGAATACCGTGGATATGCAACGGGGTAAGTATGCACGTGTGTGTGCTGAAATTGATCTTAATAAGCCGATAGTAGGCAAGTTGCGTCTTTGCAACATATGGTACAATGTGGAATATGAGGGCCTCCATCTCTTATGTTCAAAGTGTGGATGCTATGGCCACCTAGCCCGCAACTGTGTGACTACTACTGAGACTACTCAGTCACAAGTAAGTGATCCCAAAACCATAAATGTAGAAATTGCTGCTATGCCGACCCAATTAGATCCACGGGCACCTCAAGTTGGAGTAGTGGTTAATGAGCAAGGGACTAAAATCATGGAGGAAAGTAGAACTAACATGCCTGAGAACATGATAAATGGTTGTACTAACACAGCGCATGGAGAATGGCTTGTAGTGGACAAGCGAAGAAAGAATTTGAACTCAAAAAAGCAACTTAATGCACACTCTAATTCAACCCAATCCGTGGGAAAAGCAAAAGGCAATAAGAAAGGTAGCATGGCTGCTGCCCAGGTGGTGAAGAAGGGGAATGATGTCAAGGCTTTAAAATCCTTCTTAAAACCGGTGGGAACCGCAATGAATGGAAGTATGCAATTTACTGTAGGAGAACATTTGAAACTAAGTAGCACTGAGTCCAGAACATCAAGAAAAGGCAATAAACGTATTCGTCATGAACCCTCCAAATATGGTGAAGGCAACCGCTCAACAAACATGCGGATAGGTGTCTCACCATTAACTAATCCTAACCCTCCCATCACTGGCACACGTGAGAAGGATCTAGTTCACAGGGAGGGAAATCGATTTGCCCTTCTGGAAGATGGACAAATTCAGCATGGCTTGAAACTATGGGTGAATGCTCTCGCCTCAAGTAGTACTGATAACCGCTTTCGCGCCGTTGTAGTAAAACGGAGTCTAACCTTTCGGTTTTCCCCGAATATCGTCTCTTCAGGAATGGCGGAGGAGTTTCTTGATTTTAAGCTCAGTCACAGGTTATCGCAAATTATTGAAAGCTTTCCAAATTAAAACTTTTGATTGATTTTCTAAACTAGTTTTTGAATAATAAAGTAATTAAATTATGCAAATACTAATGATGGCTCAAAATTAAACTAAATGAAAAATATTAAACTCTAAATGGATTGATCAAAGAAGGGCAATGAATTGAATAATTAGAAATGTATATATTCTTGGACCTAGTAATTAGGGGAATTAAAATAACAATTGGACTAATAATTTCTTTTCTCATAGACAAGAATAGAAATTACTTTCATTAATTTATCCTATTTCTAGGTTTCATTAATGTATTCAAAAATGGTTGGCTTGAATTAAATTCTAATCTCATAGACAAGGCAGAAATAATTCTCCAAAATTTTAATTAATAAAAATAGCCAAATTCATTAACTAATTAAATTCATTATTTAAGCAATTTGAATTTATTTCTCACAGACAAGATGTAAATCCATTTCATTAAAATTATCCTATTTCTAGGCCTTATTAATGTGCTTGAATAAAGTTGGCTCAAATTACTTTCTAATCTCATAGACAAGTTAGAAATAATTTTCCAAAATTTAATTAATGAAATTGGCTAATAATTATTAATTACTAATTCATCAAATTGAATAACTAGCTCAATTAATTAATTTTAACCCCTAATATTCGGCTAACAAGTCAATCCATATTCCTTTACTCAATTCATGCCCAAAACAAATTTAGCTACTAAACATTATTTTTGCAT